ATGTTGTTGTGAGGGTGGCGATTTTCCTTCGTCTCTCTTTCTTCTTGCAACTGTGGGTGCTGCTGGGAATGGAATAGCGGATAAGGTAGAGGGTGGGCTTAGGGTTGGGGAGGTATTGGGCTTCAGGAGATGAGTGGGTTGTTGAGGGTGGGCTTCGAGAGTGGTCTGGGCTGGGAGAGGTAGAGTATGTTCAGGTTAGTTCGGGTTTTCGGTTCGGGGGTTCGGAATACGGTTTCGGTTGGACTACCCTGGGTTCCGAAATCTGGTTATTTTGTTTCCGAATTCCGAACCGAGTTCGGATAATTCGGGTTCGGTTCGGTCGAGACTCGGTTCGGTCGGGTTCGGTTCGGGTTTACCGAACCGGATGCCCACCCCTAGTTTATGGAGATGCTCGAGAAGCTCAATGTCATGATTCCTTTCTTGGAAGCAGTAGCGTATATGCCGAGGGATGCGAAGTTCCTCAAGGGGATTCTTACAAAGAAGCGAAAGTTTGAAGACTTCGCCTAAGTCATTTGGGCAAGGAGTACTCGTCATTCAAGTACTCGTCATTCATCCATAACAAGTTTCCCAAGAAGTAACAACGACCAGGTAGCTTCACTATCCCCCTTTGTATTGAAACATGTCATATAGAGAAATCCTTGACGGATTTAGGAGCAAGCATCAATGTCATGTCATATAAACTTTACAAGAAGTTAGACCTAGGTGAATTGAAACCCACTAGGTTGAGTGCTACTTTAACTAATCGTTCAGTGATTAGTCCTAGAGGCATTGGAGGACGTCCTAGTACGGGTGGGTACTTTCTATTATTCGATGAATTTCATTATTATTGATATTAGCAAGATGCGGATATGCCCCTTATCCTAGGACGCCCTTTCCTTGCCACCGCCAAGGCTCTAATTGATGTTAATGAGGGAAAATTCATCTTGAGAGATGGTGAGGAGAAAATCACTTTTTCGATTGTTCCGCTGTTCGTCGGCGGCAATGTTGCTCCGACGAGACTCCTGCGAGCTTCAGGCAAAGCTCCGGCGATCCCCTTCAGCCAGATTTTTGGCTAATTTTCGACTCCTACCCCTTCTCCTCTCCTTGCCCACTAATCATACTTGATTCTCCAGGTTTGTTTTCATCTTTCATTTGATCAATTGTGGAGAATTGGATTTAGAGTTCTTAGATGGGGAGAATTGGGATTTTTGCATGAAGGATTGAAATTGAATTTGTGAGTTGATGAATGATGATGATGGGCATGTTGTTAAAGTAGTAAATGGGATAATTTTGCCTTGGTTGCATGTTTTTATGATTGAATTGAGAAATGGCCACCAAGTGATTTCTCAATTGTCTCTCCTTGATACACTTTTGTGCATGTTAAATGGTGATCATCGAGGCATGATCTAGGATTGCAATTGCAACCTTGATGATCTATGAAACACCTATTCTCATGCCTCAGTGTACCTTGTGGGTGTTTGAACCTAATTGTTGACAAACCAAGCTCGTGAAATGTCGATGAAGGCACGCAGCCAATGTGGAATCTTAAATGTGGGGGAGTTAACTTTCTCCCCAATGAGAATTATTTGATGATTGTTTCTACATATGGTGCAGTTTTGTTGGTGTTTTTGAAGGATGGTGGATCCAAACCAACATTCTGGTAGTTTCCTGCCCCGCATTTCATTTGGAATAGGTGGCAAGATTTGGGAGACGACTTATGATGAGATTGTCGCGGCTATGGGATTGAAACCTAGGTGCTTGCTGAACATAGAGGTGGGTGTAATTCTTGAGCTTGATTCCAAAGCGTCCTTTGCAAAGGCCCGACGACCTCAACTCCGACAAGCACGCTTTGATCCTTCGAGAACCACAACGACAGTGCTCAAATCTCAATGGTGTATCATGAATAGTCTCATGTCACGTTCACTTATTCCCAATGATTGATCCTCCAACAAGGTCACTAAGAGATCTTTACTTGCCTTCGAAACGATGGCAGATGTGAAAGACGGCCTTCACCTTGGCTCCGCGTTGCTAACACTTTTGCTAAGGCGGTGAGTAATCTGCGGGTTGGCATCATACATTTGGGGCACTACATCACCAAGTTGGCATGATTCGTCAATGTTGACATCAGTATTCGCACCAAGAAGGGTCGTTCTTCAAGATTCGAGGAGGAGACATTGCGTTCCATGCAGTTTCTTAATGTGTTTAGCGCCTACCAGTACATTGACTGATTTTTCAAGCCACCAGAGGAGCAGGAGGCACTCCCTCCCCAGCCACCACAACGACGACATCTCCACATCGAGCATCTACATCTTCCGGAGCTGGATCATCATCCTTGGCCACTATTGAGGGGTGAGTGAGTCGCCTTGAGCACCACGTTGCAGGAGTCTCCTCTCAACTCACATGAGAGGTGGATGCTATCGCCATTCCCACCACCTACTGGAGGAGATGGCCCACGTTAACGCTGTCCATGCCAAGGACAATTGACAGGCTTCTCCGTCTCGCGAGAGGTAGATGACTGAGTGAGACATGTGGTCAAGCGGTTCTGTATACCCACTTCTCCATTTCCACTCTGAACTCTATTTTTTTATTTTCTTTCTTTTCATGTGTGTTGAACTAGTACTATTGTGTTTGTTTTATGTTCACCGTGATGTTATATATTGTTATTGTGTAATAACCTCGACTTGTATGAGTATGTGTGTGCTTGTTTTTTTTTTATGTGTTGTTTCTTCGTGAAGCCAACTCCTCCTCTATCCTGGTCCAATGTTCGACTTTCACTTGCCCAAATTAATGTTCGGTAACTTCTTCACCCTATTCTTTCTCCATTAAGGACAATGTCGTGTTTAAGTGTGGGGTGTTTTGTGTGTGATGGGTGGGTGAAATTGATGTGAATGCATGTTCATAGTGGCCGGTTGTCTATGGATAACTTGCTTGTGATTGAGTGCAACCTATGATTATGATTGAGATATGCGTTAGGTTGGTGCAAGTGTTAGTTCTCATGTGTCTGCAAAACATTGGATGTGTTTGGATTGATTACTCATTGACCACAATTGCTATGCATCAAAATTTGATAGTTGGAATGAATGTGTAAGCATCTAGGTAGCCAGGTGAGATCGTGTTGCTCGTCTTTTTCTTGTGATATTGATCCCTCTTACCATGATGTGTAACATTCACGTTGTCACTAGTGAGAAAGATGGAGGCATAGGATTAGTCCACCACTAAAAATTGACTTGAACCGATTCCATTATCCCCTAGTCAACCCTTTTGAGTCGTGTGTCTAGCGATCGCTCTCATGTTGTGTAGCTCGTACTTTGTGAGCTTGATTGAGATTAGAAAGAGCGGCCCTTAATTTCTACATGTCTACACCATTGTCGAGTCACCCTTATGCTTCAAAGCTCCCATCATTTGAGCTTCATTAAGGTTCCATTGTGTGTGTCTTGAATGGTTTCCTGCAAAAGAATGAAAGTGAGTGTTGGAGGTAGTGCTTAAGAAGTGAACATGTGTTTAAAGTTCAAAGAATGTGGCATGTGTTTAGCTCTCTAATACAACCCCCCCCCCCCCCCCCCCCCCAAGAAAAAGAAAGGAAAGAGAAACAAAAGGAAAGGGGAAAAAAAGAAGACATTAAATGGGGCAAATAAGAATAGAGAGTGCCACAAAATATTGTTTATGCTCTAGAAAGGTGTTTCTTGGCAATCAAGGCAATGAGACACCTACATGTTGTTCACCACCTTCACTCTTGTTCTTGAAAGATTGGATAGCAAGTGTAGCAAAGAAAGTGTGCTTTGAGTGTTGTTCATGATTGGTTGTGTTGCGGGAAAGGCAGAATGTTTGGCCATTGGTTGTTTAAGTGGTTTTGTGTTTATGTAGTAGGTTGTAGGTGAATTGTGGACCTCATGCTTTATGTTCCACCACCCAAAAAGCATTTCCCTATGTCCAAGACCCTAGCCAGTCATCTGAACCTGTGTCTAAGACCTCCGAACGAGCTAGTGATGACCCCTATCATGTGAGCTCTAGCATTTAGAGATTACTGTCATGGTAAAGAGAAGATAGGGCTGAGTGTTGAGTATGCACATCTTTTGCATCAAAATGGTCTTGACCCCACTGGTCGAGAGTGAGTGATTCGTTCATCTTATCTTGTTCATATCATACCCTGGTGAGGACCTATTTTGCTCATTCATTTGTTCCTATGACGTGATCTTTATGTATGGATAATTGTGGTTGGTGAGTCGTCATTGCGGGATATGTTTTGATTTGTGAACGGGGTGAGAACTTTTCGTTTGCACGTTCTTAATGCATTCAAATGTCATTTGTGGTGGTTGTCATGATCGCTAGTTGTTGTCCATATGTCGGTACCATATCCATCCACTTTTTTCCCTCTGACATATCCCCAAGTTATGATATTTAGGTTGAAATATTATCTTGTTTGAGATTGGTTTGTTTGATGACAATCAAACATCCAAGTATAAGAGAGTTTGATTCACGATACTACCAGTTAAAACTAAATCAAAATATCTAAATACTACCGATTAAGATGGTTACCACGATAACCACTCCGTTCCAACACCCCGGTTGAAACCCATTTTCTTTCAACTTTCCCCGTGTTCTCATGCTTTGCAGAAAAAATCGAAAAATGCACCACAACCACAAACGGTATTTGCTGGAGCAAGCAGGGGCCAGAAAGGCAACTTTTTACTCTTCATAACTTTTGGGGTTTGACTTTGGATTGAAAAGTTCATTCACTTTTCTTTTGCGTCTTTCTTGACACTCTCCCAAGCGCCCCACTAAAAGAAATAACTGGACGTCAAGCTGTAAAACATCCCAACGGAACGAACGAATGAATTCCAGAGGAGAGAGAGAGAGAGAGGGGGAGGGTAAATCCTGTCCGCCTCCGCCTGACAACTGACAAGTGACAACTCACCACCCCGCCAGTGGCATTCTCGTGAATAATCCTCATCCCCATTCCTTGTTTCTTCTTCATCTACCCGCCCGATTCCACTCACTCATGACTCGCCCATTGCCATACATATTGATATTGGTACAACCATCTTCTCTCCTAATAAACTCTTCCAACTCCTCTGTTTCTAATCTATTCTTTTCCTCCTTCGCGGGCTAAACGCTACTGAAAATTAATAATAAGGTCAATTAAAATACAAACACCATTTCTTCGTTTCCCTTTTATCCTCCGCTCCCTCTCTCTCCCACCCACTCTCTTGCTTCCCCGCAACCGAATTTCCTGTCTTCTCCGTTGGAGCTAGTCCAGGCCTCATACCATACCACCGTCTTCTTATTGTTGAAATTTAAAAAACTCGAGTTTTGAGCGAATTCAGAGTCGGGTAAGCGGGATGCTGTGTGGTGGATGGGTTCTTGGTTTGTCCAAGTTTCAGATGTATTGGGCTCAGTTGAGAACCTGAGGAATGGGTTGTTTCGTCAGCAAGAAGACCACCGCCGAGAAAGAGACTGACGGCGGCCGGACTTGCGTCGGGCCTTCCGCCGACGCAGCTAACCATGCCGTCAGGGTTGGTAAGGAGTCGGTCGTGGCGGCGGCGACGCACAAGTCCCGGCGTCACTCGGCTGATGTCTATGCGGAGATGGCCCGGCAGTCCCGGGTCGACCGGGGGATTGCGACCCAGCAAGGTCGGTGGCCGTCGTGGCTAATGGCGGTGGCCGGTGAAGCCATCGGTGACTGGACTCCTCGCCGGGCCAACACTTTCGAGAAGCTCGATAAGGTACGGGGAAAAACATAAGCCAGCTGGGGCAAATTTTGGAAAGTAATTTGGGAGAAAGAAAAGAAAGGGGGGAATTCGAGAGAAAGGCATCTGCTTTTCCTATCTTGCCGGTTCCTTCTTTTTATTACTCCTGCGCACCATTTGAGATAGGGTTAATCTTGTTTGTCTTCTTGGTAATTCCTATTTTGATCGCGTTGGTATTTCTTGGAAAATCTTTTGGTTGGATTAGATTGGGCAAGGGACTTACAGCAATGTGTACAAAGCGAGGGATCTATTGACAGGAAAGATAGTGGCATTGAAGAAAGTGCGGTTTGATAACTTGGAGCCCGAGAGTGTGAAATTTATGGCGAGAGAGATTCTTGTTCTCAGGAGATTGGATCATCCGAATGTGCTTAAGCTTGAAGGTTTGGTTACCTCGAGAATGTCATGTAGCTTGTACTTGGTCTTCGAATACATGGACCATGACTTAGCTGGCCTTGCAGCTCGCCAGGGAGTCAAGTTCAGTGAGCCACAGGTATTCAAATCTCTTCTCTTTCTGTCTATATTTGTTCCCTTATTTGCTGTGATGTTGATGGGTGTTCATTTGCCATGTTTCTTTCGACAGATAAAATGCTATATGAAGCAGTTGCTATCAGGGATTGAACACTGTCACAGACACGGTGTACTACATCGTGACATCAAGGGGTCTAATCTCCTGATTAACAATGAGGGTATACTCAAAATTGCTGATTTTGGACTAGCTACATTCTATGATCCTGGAAGCAAGATTCCCATGACTAGTCGAGTTGTTACCCTCTGGTATCGACCTCCGGAGCTTCTTCTAGGAGCAACTTATTATGGTGTCGGTGTTGACCTTTGGAGTGCCGGCTGCATTTTGGCCGAGCTGCTTGCTGGGAAGCCCATCATGCCAGGACGAACTGAGGTATAGTTTTCGGATCACATTAGTCTCTACGTGGGTAAATGCCTCTTATCCACAACAGTCTACTGAAAAGTTATTGCAATCTTCATGCACGGATGATCTGTTAGCATAATCTTTGAACTGGATAAATAATTATATATTCGTGGCTTGATGACCAGATTTATAATGTGGGCATAAGCTGGAAATGCAATCAGTGTTCTGGAATAATATCTGTTTGTTTTAGTTTGGATGCAGGTTAAAGTGGGAGCAAAACCAACTTACATCCAAAATAACATGATCCGTCTTTAGTGTGCCAATTTAGCATGGTTTATCTTTATTCATATTGTAATAGATTCAACTTCTGGTGTGCTTGTGCTATGGTAGTTGGAAAATTGACATTCATTCTTTTGGCACGCGCAGGTCGAACAACTGCATAAGATATTCAAGTTATGTGGCTCGCCATCTGAGGAATATTGGAAGAAGGCAAAATTACCTAATGCCACACTTTTTAAGCCTCAACAGCCTTACAAATGCTGCATAGTAGAGACTTTCAAGGGTTTCCCACCTTCATCCATGCCTTTGATTCAGACTTTGCTGTCAATAGACCCTGATGAACGAGGCACTGCTACTTCTGCTCTCAATAGTGAAGTGAGTGTCATATGCCAACTCGATATTCGGATACCAAGTGAAAGTGACTGTTTTCAAGTAATATTGATGAGTCAGTAATGCGAAGTTGTAGATGTCTAAGTTGATACCCTCTCATGCCAGTTTTATTGCTTAGTATAAATGCGTTCTTTTGTTATACAAAATTATATGGGGCATGGTATATGAAGTGTAACATGAAATGATTCCTCTGAGTGCAGTTTTTTAGCATAGAACCTGTTGCTTGCGAGCCGTCTAGTTTGCCCGTGTATCCTCCTAGCAAGGAACTGGATGTGAAATTGAGAGATGAAGAAGCAAGAAGGTTAGCTAGCAGCAGACTGTAAATCCTTTCCATTATCATTGTGGTACTTTTGTTTGCTGCATATGCTGATGATGATGCTTGGCTGCTTAGGCAAAGGGGTCTTGGTGGAAAAGCTAATGGTGCAGATGGTGCCAGAAAAATTCGAAATCGGCCTGGTCGTGCTGTCCCCGCCCCAGAGGCCAATGCAGAGATTCCAGCAAACGTAGATGTATGTAAAAAGAGTTTCCCCTCCCCTCAGCTGGTTCGTCTCAGTTTCCTATCTTCCAATTCTGACCTGTGGTATGTGAGATAAATTGCAGAGATGGAGGGTTGTGACGCAAGCAAACGCCAAGAGCAAAAGCGAAAAGTTCCCACCTCCACACCAGGATGGAGAAGTTGGAGGACGCCATATGATGGATGATGGGTCCCGAAAGGCCCCTGTTGGAATGCCTGAAACATCTTTTAGCTCATCGGTCTTCACTTCGAACGCATCATCAACGTCTACTAAAAGTTTTGGGAGCTCAGGAGGTCCTTCAAGGAGAAGAAACAGCAAGGATGGTGGTGCCCAGATAGGTCCATCGAGGAAGTTCATTCGTCCGTTTAATGGTTCGACGCTAGGGCTATCAATTGATTTGTTGTTCAAAGGAAAGTCGGAGAATTTTGGAAGCCGTAGGTAGGTATATAGATAAACTGGGTCTTCTTTTTTCTTCTTGGCTTTTGCAGTTCTCCCTTCTCATGGTCATGGGGGGATTCCTTAGGGTTAAATTTACATCTATCGGCTTGTCTCTGTTAATTTGTTCAATTTGGTTTGTACCCCTATCTGATAAGTATGCTGGTGTTGAAGGTCCATGATGAAGAATGTACAAGCACCGGTTGCGTTTGTGTATAAATTGTAACTCTGCGCACTGCTAGTTTCAAGTTGTTATTTCTGACAAACCAAACACGATGTCTCAATTATTACAAGCTCAAGATGTTGCTTCCCTATTTGAACTAGAGTTGACAATCAAACCCGCAATTGTGGGTATCTGATTGCTTCTGATCGATTTAATACAGGAAATTCTCGTGTTGATTGGGTATATTCTCGTGTTGATTGGGTATATGACGGATCTTTGTAAAACATACAAAACATTTTATAGGGACGAGAGACGTGTTTGATTTTCTCCTTTTCAGCTTCATACACATACTTGCTTCATCAAGATTATTTCATCATATACTAAATATGTAAAGATAATATTGTAACCTCTCAATACGAAAAAGGTAGTTCAAAATAATAACGAGTTTAAATGTAATTGAGTGGTCATCCAAAATTAAGCCACTAATTTATTCCTATCAATTTGCATGCACTCTTTTACTTCTTTTCCTCTTATTAACAAGATTGCGTTAGCTATTTATTGCTTATTAGATATGTCGAAGTCAAAGGTGAATAATTTAGATAGTACTGTGATTTGTCTTTATGAATTAGTGTACATTTTAGGATTGGATGCTTATATTTTAGGATAGAATGCTTTGAATAAATATTGAGATTAGTTCTACCGTTAGTGTTGTAATTGAAAAACTGTATGTTGAATTCTAGGTATATTAATATTGGATATACGAGACATATTCTTACAAGTACCCGAAAACCGCAATATAGGGATGAGGTTGCAAAATCTCCCGCATAATTATGGAGTGGGTATTAGTTTGAGCACTTGAAAATGAGAAGGATTTTGATAATTATGGAGTGGATCTGCTACGCCAGTAGTCGTCCAGCCAGTCTACAACTCTACATGGCGATTGCCGCCCAACAAACTTTGGCCCATGCAGACTGGGAAACAAATAACATTCATGTTCTCAACCAAAAAGACACAAGTAAAAAATTAGAGAGCGTATTCAATAATAACATAATAATGGATTCAGCAGCAGACTATGCTGTTGCGGCCAATGAGGATGATCGATAGCAAGTCCTCTTGGCAGCACGGACAATATCTTCAACCTGCAAAGTAGGGAGCGGGGTGTAATTCTAACTTGTACCATATGGTTGACACTTAACACACAAAAATAAAAGGAGTATCAAATCACAAACCTGTGGGACAGCCAATCTCTCTAGGTTTGCAGCGTATGGCATGGGAACATCAGCTCCGGCAATCCTCTCAATGGCCGCATCAAGATACTCAAAGCTATCCTCAACTACTGACGCACTGTTGCAAGGAGTAACAATGGGTTTTAATAACGTACTGAGATGGATTCTGGGGTGGTTGGCATCGAGAATTGGCCTAATGATAGCTTTACCAGATTTCAGCACCAATTCCATGTTGAGGAAAGCCTTCTTCAACAGTAACCAGTCTGTTAGTTTTCCTGACGGAGTTGTTGATCGTGGCTCTATCAAGGGGACGGATAGATCGCAGATTAATAACCTGTATGTATTTCAAGCACTAATTAATTTTCATAAGACTTGATATTAACAATGTGCTGAAAAGAGTTATAAAAGGCAGAATCAATTACCTCTGCGCTTATCCCTTCTTTAGAAAGAATTTCAGCAGCCTACATGATGCACAGGATGAATTAGAAATGATTCATGCCCAGTGGTCCATCCAGTAGCAAGTGTGATCGGGATAACGTAAAATTTGGAGTCTACCCTCTATCCTATTGTCATGCCGGAATCCATCCCAGTTATTGACATATACCTTGCCGCAGACAATTAATAGCATACCTTGAGAGCATAACCGACCATCTTTGAGAAAGCAGTAATAGTTACATCCTTGCCTTCCCTTTCAATCTGATCAAAACAAGTAAATTTATTATGGAATTAATACTCATCTAGATAAGAAGAAGGTACTAAGGCTACCAAAGAAGAGAAAGGAAGGAAAAGGGGATGCAACAAACAATCATTAAAGCATGCACCTTAGCTTTGCCTATGGGAAGACTGAAACTGGAATCAAGAACTTCAGCTGAGACTGGAAACGACTCACCGTACCTACACGACATATTCAAGACAAAGGACATTGAGCGACTTAACGGTCAAGTACAGCACTTACGTAAAAGGCCATGAATAATAGAATACTCACAAAAGCTCATTCTCTAGGAAGACAACTGGATCTGGATCTCTAATAGCAGCCTTCATTAGGCCACGGGCATCTTCTGATGAATATGGAGCAAGGACTTTCAGGCCAGGACAGGAAGCAAACCATGATGCATAACACTGCAGTACAACGACTGGAACATGTAAGGGGGCCAGGGGCTTGTTTGCCAAGCACACAGAAATTTCAAGAGCAAATCAAATGAACAATCACTCAAATTAGGAGGTTAACTGCGCTGCATAAGGCTATCTAAAACTCTATTTGCCGCTAATTTTCACAGCCGATTCCAAAGTTGTGTTCTTGGGCATTCACAAGAACATTCAAATTAGAAGGTTAACTGCGCTGCATAAGGCTATCTAAAACTCAATTTGCCACTAATTTTCACAGCCGATTCCAAAGTTGTATTCAAACACACTCAAAAGGTATTAACCTAAGCAGGGCATTGTCACTCATCCAAAGAGATTAAACTTGAATCATGAAATAGTTTCAGCGGCATTATCACCAATCCAATTGACCAAAATCATCATCATGATTTATTTTTTATATTAAGACAACAAGCAGAGGCGTTTTCTTAAGCAACAGAACCCAGTAAGTAGTAGTAGTATCTTGAAATGGGTTCATAATGTTTCATCCTCGTGAACTTCACCAGACTACATAACCATTATATATCTTAATGTCACTGAAAGGTCCAGTGTTCAAATTAGAAGTCGAAAGAAAGGAATCATAAAACCATCAAACATTAAGCATAGTAAATCACCTGTGAATGCTGAGCACCCACTCCAGCAGCAGCACCATTTGGGCCCCTGAAGACTATAGGGACAGAAATCTGCCCAGCAGACATGTAGTTTGATTTTGCAGCAGAATTGATGATATGATCTATAGCCTGTAAAAAATTGGGATGAGGCAAACTTCTCAAACAGCAACAAGATACCAAGAGCTAGTGACAAGAACCAACATTTACTAGAAAAATTTACGCAAACGGCAACAGTAGAGAGGGAAAACATAATATCCGTGTACCGACAAATTTAATCAGTCCCTTGAAGGGAGCCAAAGCAACTTGAGATTAAAAATAACAAATACCTACACATACATACCTTGTTTTCTCCACACAACAAAAAAAAAAAGCGCAAGTAAAAGAAAAAAAAATTTACCTGCATGGAGAAGTTGAATGTCATGAACTCTATAATGGGCTTAAGCCCATGATAAGCTGCGCCAACTCCAATACCAGTAAAACCAGCCTAGGTTTAAGGAGAAAGAGTGAGTGAAGAAATTTTGCCACTGAATATGACATACAATAAGCCTCCTTAACGCAAGAAAAATAAAAATAAAAAAATACCACAGCAGAATGCCAAGCTACAAAGTAAACACACAGCATTGTTATGCTTAGATAGTGGTGCAAGTAACAACCTCGGTGATTGGAGTATCAAGAACTCTGTCAGGACCATACTTCTCCAAGAGGCCTTTGGTGATCTGATAAATAATTCAATGTAAGCTGATAAGTAATGGTATATAATGAGAAAACTGTGATGCTCTGTTGAAGCATAAGACTACTGCAACTTAATCAAAGAAGAGAAGTTTATCTGACCTTGTATGCACCTTGATATTCTCCAACCTACACAAACATTACAATAAATCAAATAAGATACAACTGTATGATTGGCTTAAGACATTCAACAATCCAGAAGTCGAAGGTGTGTCAGATTTACCTCCTCCCCCATCAAAAAGACTTTGGGATCCGCAGACATTTCTTCATCAATGGCAGAATTGAGAGCATCCCTTACAGTCATCTGAAAAGTTCCAAATGGAGTAGAAAGACAAAAGACAAGTATGATACATCAAGTAACAGGTAAAACAAACACGAGAGCTCCTGCGGAGATTTTTAAACAGAAAGAAAGTGCATAGCAGCAACACTGTCACTTCAAATGTCAGCATTTCCAGATGATTCATGGGGTCCAGAGGAACAGAGGTCAAGACTCATCATTAGCCATTGTTCATCACGATTTCTAAGGAGGGTAAGATGTTTGACAAATAAAAAAAGCAGATATATCAACCGCAGCATCAAAATTAACCCTGTTGAGTCTCCATAACCATTCACAAAGCAGGCAGCAGATGGATACATATTCATATCGCTTTAAATTCTGAACAATCCATCGCAGGCAATGGCATATAGAAAGAAGTGCGTTCCTATGACAGATTACCATAGAGCATAGTGCCAACACATCAAAACCTGAATCCAGAGAAGAGAAGTTATTACCTCTTTAGCTGCGGAGGAGAAGCTCCTTGACGCGAGAATTGCAGGGCGAGTCCCCTGCAGTGACTGGTCCATTCAAACGCGATTAAACATGAGCAAAAAAAAAAAAAGACCTAACGAATCAGGGCGAAGATCAAGAAGGCGGTAGAATACAAGCGGCAAGCGTAGAAACAAATACCATAGCGGAGGAGCCATGGCGGAAAACTCTTTGTCCGACGATCCCCCACATTGTCGCCTGTTTTTCCTCTCTTCCTAGATCAGTCTGTTGATGGAAATCGAAAGAAGAAGAAATAAACCCAGCCGCGCTTAGACGACGGAAAGAAAGAGAAGAAGATTTAGATTCAACTGAGATTCGAGATCGTGGTAAGAGCGCTTACTTACAGTTGCAGAGAAACTTCCACGGGATGTGGAAAGAAAAAGGCGGAATCAGAGATTGGGGAGGGATTTGGAGGTGAGCTCTGAAAGAGAGAAGTGGAGGGAAGGCAGGAGATTTGTTCGTCTTTCTTTCTCTTTTGTTCTCTGTACTGTATGTATTAACTATTAAGTATTATGGCGTTTTTTTTTTTGTTTCTGAAAAGCTGCGAATAGGGACAGGAGGGAGTCGAGTGGAGGGACAGGGAAGGGATTTTATTTGATATAATATTATATTGTAGTTTTAGAATGGCGATTGGGCCAAACAAACATGAGAACAACGCTTTGGCCGCTGGGAGACTTGAGAGGGCGAGTCGTGAATTGTCT